TTTCTGTAAATAAATTTTTACTGGATCCCAGCCATGCCCATTCATTCACAAATATTCTGTAGCTGCTTTCATGCCACAGCCTTGGAGTTGAGTGGTTGTGACAGAGACCATGTGGTCCACAAAGTCTAAATGATTTGGCCCTTTTTTGCTCCCTCATTGGAGCATGATATTCATTAGAGTTTTTTTCTATTGAGGTAAAGCTTAAATTATATAAAAACACCAATATTAAGCATTTTACCTGATAAATTTTGACAAATGCATTCACCTATGTAACCAATACCTAACATAATTTGAAACATTACTGTCATACCTGAAAATTCCCTCATGTATCCTCCTAGGCAACGCTTGCTCTTACCCTTTACTCTCAGGATAATCACTATTTTTATTCCTGCCAACACCCATAGATTAGTTTTGCCTGTTCTAGAATTCATACAGATAAACTCATACGGTATGTACAGTATAGTATATACACTGCTGTATAAGGCATTTATCACTTAGCAAAGGTAGCAGATGTGTTTTGTCTGCAGGTCATGGTTTGCTGTCCCCCAGTCTGTTTAATAAACATTGAATATTTTTGTATCTGACTATATGCAGTTTTGGTGATATGTGAGGAAAGAGTGAAATTCTGCCTCTGAGAACTAACAGGTTATAATCTTAATTTTAGTGGTCAGTGTTCACTTTTTTAGCAAACATAAGTGAAGCCTATTGTGATGTATATCCTGATTCTGTGTAAGAATCAGCTTTACTATCATTATTATTTAAAAAATTCATCTGCATTTTTAATTTAGGAGATTTTTTACACTAAAGTTATTTTTTACAATAAAATGCACATAATATCTTTGTTCTTGAAGTAGAATTGCAGTGTATTACTTGTCCTATTTTGAATGTCATAGTTATACCATATTAAAAGTAAAAAATAATTAAAGATAAAAACAATTTTGTACGTTTATGTACACATATGTATATGTAGTGGTGACAATTGTTCATTTTAATTCAAATACTTTTATTAACCTCAGAGACTGTAAGTCATCACGATCAATTCTGGGAATCCTATAAAGACTATTTGAACACTTACAGCATATCATGGTGTCGTGATGTCTTTGGAAAGCATTTCTGAGAATAACACAATTAATTACAATAAAAGGAGAAATTGAAAAAGTGCTATCATGTTAGTCTGAGCAAACTGCCCTGTGTCTAAAAAGAAAATCTGACACTGAGAAGGAGTAGGGTGTTTGAGAAAGGACTTAAAAACTGAATGGTACTTCAATGCACAGTGAAATGAAAGAAAAGTAGTTCAAACCGAAAGGATGACACAGAACTGTGGAGAGACCCGTGGTGTGCTCAGGCAACAATATAGCAGTCTGCTATGATTGAGGATACTGTCTTTGTAGATGAAGATTAGGTCAAAAGTGTATCTGGGAATATAAAAAAATACATCACCAAAAGGCAGCTCATCAGTACCATGTCCTGTTCTCTTTTCCCTCCTCCACCCAAACTCTCTTACAGTTGACAATTCTAATTCTGCTGCTGTCCAACCAGGCAGCAGAAATGAGAGCCATTGATGGATGTGGCAGTGGCTGAGGAGATGCATGAAGAGTTTCAAGGGCATACATATTTGGTACTTAATGATTCAGTCTGCCTCAAGTAGTATTTTGCACAGAGCTTTACTTTCTTCCACAAGTTTTTTGATTGTCAAGCTAATAATATCAAGGTCCTTGATATGTGCCTATGTGAGTGTGCATTTTGAGTTGGATAAGTTACATGAGTTTTTCATAATTCTCCAACAAATTTTATGTCTAATTTTATTGTATAACATAATGTTTAGTATCCTTTTTATTTCAAATTCAGTGTTCTATATCAATCAGGGAATAAGAATTGGCAACTTAGATGATTATTTGAATTAACTGATATGACATCAATGAAATTTCTTCACATAAGTAGTCAAGCTGTCAAATACCTTTGAGTAAATAGTAAATATTACTTATTTTGATTAGAGCTAAAAATACATTCTATAATTTCTCTGGAGAAATATTTTCCTATGTATAATTTGTTTTATTTTTGGCAGGAATTTTATCCTTATAGGCAGATGGCTTATTTATTTGTTAAATTTATATGGGTATATAGTTTTCAAATTAACTCTAGCACAAGTGAAATAATTCAAATTCAACAGAAATATACAAGATCAAATATTAGTATGTTGAAATAAATACAATGCAAATAACCAAATAAAAACAGACAATGAATTTTACCAATTAAAGTGACAGCAGATTTCTGTTCTCTGCAAACTAAGTCTGGCAACTATAATTTGTAGTCACATAGATTCAATGTGCCCTACAACTGAATTAGTCAAGCAATAAATTACAGGGACTCAACTACTTTAGGCTTTATAGACTTTGGTCAGCCCCTTGAAACACAGCAAATGGAACAAGAGAACCAAATTAGTGGCTCCCTAACTGCAGCAAGGAGAGTTCTAAAGATGCAACTACCCCCGCCCCCCTCCACAAGATTCCCATTCCCAGGTTTTTCAATCAAACATTAATTTAGGTACTTCCGTAAAAGAACTTTGTAGATGTATTTAACATTATTACCGAGATAGACTTAAAATAGGAAGATTATCCTGGACAGTCCAAGTGGCCCCAATGCAATCACATGGTTCCTCAGGACCTTATGTATACAATATCAGGTCATCTGTGAATAGAGATAGTTTTACTTCCTATGTCCATTCTGGGTGCTGATTATTTAATTTCTTGTCTAGTTGCCAGCCTAGAAACTCTAGTGGGATGTCGAGAAGAAGTGGCAATAGCAGATATCTTATTTCTATCAGGAGAAACTTTTTCAGTCTTTTATATTATGATAATTGAAGGCTTTTGGTAGATGCCATTTATCAGGTGAGCATATGCCCTTCTGTGATTATTATGTTGAGTGTTTTTACCATGAGACAGTGTTAGACTTTGTGAAATATGGTTTTTGAAGCTATTTAGTTGACCATGTGATTTGCAGCTATTTAGTTGACCATATGATTTTTGGCCTTTACTTGATTTATTTATAGTGATTGGTTTACAGAGACATATACTTTATGAGTTGATCATATTTTTATACAATACACCAGCCTTGAACTTTTGATTGGAGACCTTATCATTTACATATAACAAAATTATAGATGAGATAAAATTTATACCTACCATCTACTATTTGTTTTTTGTCTGCCTTGTTTTTTCTTGTTTTCTTTTGTGCTACCTAATTATTTTCTAGTGTATCTTAGTAAATCGCTTTTTTATTACATATTTTTAAAGTATTTTTTAGTGACTGACCTGAGGATTAAAACAATCTAGGCTGAATTAATACCAATTCAATGGCAATGACACAGGAAAACATTTGTCTTACCTAGCTCCATTCTCCCCACCTTTATGCTGTTACTGCCACAAATTATATCTGTATATATTGTATACTCATCAATACTGAATTATAATTTAGATTTTAGTGATCATAATAACCAATTAGCCAATAACCAATAACCAATATTGACGATTGATTAATCATCAATATTGGTTAATATGATGATTAATGTTTGATAATTAATCATCATAATGCATGATGATTAGTATTTGCTATTATAATTTTTGATATTTTAATTTTATAAATGTTTGCCATTTATAATTATAATGTTTACTATTATAATTTCTCTTTATTGACATTCTCTATATCATTAGAGAAAAGGAATTTGTACTTAAGACTATTATTTCCTGTCTGTTATCTGAACTGAGGCATATTTCTGTCACAGATAAACACACTTATTGCTGTACAAAAATTTTGACATTTTAACCTTTGCTTCAGTTCTTGGACCTTTTCAAGGTGATTCATTCCTGCAGCCTGATCTTTTGAGAAATATTTTTAAGAACGATCTTATTTCACTGCTGAAACACTCAATTTTTTGAGTTCCTTTGAGCCAGTCTGTTGCATGCAGTAGGACTTGGTTCTCTTGATCCCAGTCATTCCCATTCCTCACGTAGAATGTGGAGAATGGAGGAAATGCAAGGCTCCTTATTATAGTTGAAGAAAGTGAGAGTAAAAATTCTACCATCTTTTTCCTGAGGATCACAGTTGGTGGAATTCACTGTCAAAGTTACTGGATTTAGCCTCAAAACTTGATTCATGGTTTTGTTGCTTATATATTTTATAATCTTTCTTTTTCTTGGTTATCAAATCTTGGTTATGTTTGGATTTTACTCCAACACCTACCCAGAAACAAAAATATTTTTGAAAGTCCTTTAACATAAACATTAATGATTATAAATAAAATCACAGTGTTTACATTCTTTGTAATTAAAAAAATTAATACTTTATCATAGGCTTACTTTATTTTATCATTTAATTTTAAATATTTTTTGTTATTGACACTAATTATAGAGGTCCCCCAGTCCCATCCCTGTTTCCCCCTTCCACCAACCCTCTGGTTTCCACTCTGGCCTTCAGCACACTGTTGTCTCTGTCCACGGGCTATGCATATATACATGTATATTCTCTGACTAATCTCTTCCAGTCCCTCCTCTCCTCCTTCCCTCTGAGATCTGTCCGTCTGTTTCATGTATTCATGCCTCTGATTTATTTTGTCAGTTTACTTTGTTCATTAGATTCCACATATGAATGAGATCATATGGTATTTGTCTTTCTCTGACTGGCTTATTTCTCTTAGCCTAATAGTCTCCAGATCCATCCATGGTGTAGCAAAGGGTAAGAGTTTCTTCTTTCTTGCAGTTGCATAGAATTCCACTGTGTAAACGTACCACAGCTTTTTTATCCACTCATCTACTGATGGATACTTGGGCTACTTACAGATCTTAGCTATTATAAATAATGCTGCTATGGACATAGGCATGAACATATTTTTTCAAAATTGATATCTTGGGATTCTTAGGATATATTCCCAGAAGTGGAATTGCTGGGTCAAAAGGCATTTCTGTTTTAATTACAGGTTAATTTTAAGTATATTTTAAACATACATGTTGTACTTTTATGGAGGTAAGCTTAAAATAGGAATTTATGAATCATATAAACAAATGAATATATTAGATATTAACAGGAGACATATGATAATGATGATATATGTGTGATAAGATATTACCAGGCTCCTTCAGAGAGTAAAAGGGGCATGTAGAGACAACATTGGATATATTTTTTGTTATCAGCTTCACAAATCTCTTCTTGATGTTTAGAGCCAGTAGGAGGAGGGGGTGTCAGATGAAAGAATGAGCAAGGGGGAAAAACTTACATTCTCCTTCTTTCATTTACACTCTTACATGTGATGAGTAAAGTCATATGGAAACAAGAGAACTTTATATAACATGGTATTTTTCTCTAAGAAATATCTCCATCTGTGATTGAAGAAATTCTGTATTCATACTATAGGGAGTAAGGTAAAATTAAGAGTGCATTTAAAAATATGCCTGTTTTTGTCACTGAGTTGGAATTAAAGGTAGAAAACAGATATTGCTATTGGGTGTACTTTAAATACATATTTTGACAATAAAAATAAAGCTTATTACTAGCAAATGTTAAAGGATTTCAAACTGTTTCTAAATTTAAAACACTACTTCCATGGCTTAGGGGATTGAGTGCAGGTGTGAGAACCAAAGGGTCGCCAGTTTGATTCCCACTCAGGGCATGTACCTGGGTTGCGGACCAGATCCATAGTGTGGGGTGTGTGAGAAGCAATCACACATTGATGTTTCTCTCCCTCTCTTTCTCCTTCCCTTCCCCTCTATATAAAAATAAATGAATAAGATCTTTAAAAAGTCTTAAAAATTACTTTGTGTAATAATCTAAAGATTAATCTTTAATTTCTAACAAAATACAGATTGATTTATAGTGTTATGACACATGAAAAAGTCGTCATTTATAAAACATTCTACTTATTTAAATAATTTATTATTTTATTGCAAATGCTATTGTATTATTTACTAGGATAATGTGGCAAATTGAATTTTTGAGCAAACTTTTGAAAGTAAACGTGGTTAATTTAAGTAATTTTCTTGACAAATGAAAGTAATTTTTTCTGTATATTCCTAAAGGCTTTTTAGTAGCTTATTGTTTGTAAACAATAATTTAGGACCCATTGGGTACTATTACCATTTATGTTGCTAATAGTATTATTTAAATCTAACACAGTACATCCATATGTCTCTATGCTTAATTAATTATTCACTTGCTTAACATTTGCTTTACCTGCCGAATATGAAAAGCAAACTAATTATGGTCTGCTTGTGTCACCATGATACCAGCTCTTCATCTGAACTGTGTTTATGTAATAATTCCAGGGAGCACATCCTCAGAACACTTTTCAGTTATTGCTGGGATTTCAATTAGGCATCTGATTGTCTCCTTAAGTAATCATTAATGTCGCTGTTTTCTGTTTAATTAGGGTACAATTTCAGAATAGGTCTAGGTAAAAAGAGGTTTTTAAGGTTTCATAATTTTATTATTAATTCTTTCTATGAAATGATTAAATTTGATTTCCAACCCAACTTTAAAATACCACCAAATAAGTTGGGTAGACATATCATCACAATCATCATCAGCATCATTTTTCATTCCTTTTCACAGATAGTGGCACACCAAATAGAATAGTAAAAGCTAATGGTTCCCAGGTTCTACACTATAACCTTGTCAAGCATTGCAATAAATATATGAAAGCCCAGGGAATGCTCTTAGTTTATGTCATAGGCTTTCAAAGTAGCTGGCCCAGCCTGTACTGCAGCACACAGCACAGTATCAGGACTTAGTATTGTTTTCCATAACCCTGTGAAAACCTGGGATTTTTGATCCACTGCTTTCTAGAGAAAATCACAACAGACAACAATCTCTTTTGAATTCTTTCCGAATTACTTATTTTGGTGGGCAGTTTTAGGGTAATGTTTTCTTTGGATACCATCTTTGCAGAGTTATAACTTTGTATATCATGTGACATAAATTGGGTTGTGGGCTGTAGGCATAATAGTGCTATAAAATATAATCACTGTTATTTAAGTGGGGAATATAATGAAGTGAAAAATATCAGTCAGACTATTGTCAAAAACACATGGTTAAATGTGGTTAAATATTCTATTCTTTGAGCAAAAAATATATTCATCTGATGTGGATATAAGCCTGAATTACCGCCTGGTGTATCATCTTACCAGTGGTTACTCTGAATCTGGTTGCTGACTCTTGTTTCCACTTTCTCTCACCCGTCTCCACAGTGGACTCTCCTTCAAACTTAAGAAGCCGAGTTTTTCTTTCAATGAACAAACAGCACACTGATCGGGTATTTGAAAGTGCACAGCATGTTGAAAACTTTTTACATAAGGGAACATCTTTATTATAATTGTTTGAATATTAATTCTTTTTCACAGGTTACATTTTATTACTTTTACAGCCATGTGAGTGGCAAATTAACAGCTGGCCTTCAAACTGCCCCTGCCGGTCCTGTCCAGCTGCTGTGGCAGAACACAGCTGGGCCCCAGAACAGTGGGAGAGAAATGTCATCAAAGCCCAGTGCTCCCAGAAACTTCCGGTATGTGTGTTGTGTTTTCTAACTCTGTGTTTGAAAGGAAGGTAATAAGATGCATATTTTTAATACTCAATGAATTAAAAGTGGGGTGATATACGGATATATCAATAAAATATGAACTCCTAATTCTCTTAACTTCTTGAAGTCTCCTTACCTTTTTCTTTATTTCTCTTACTATTCCAATGTCCTGTTCTGTTTCTCATTTCTTATTCTTAAGGTTCACTTTCCTTTCAGACTTTTCTCATGCTTTTGAGAGAAAAAGGTTATGTTGGGTAGTGAGGAAATAGACTATTTAATTTAACTACTAATTCTAAATGCTGTAGAAATGAAATAATTGTCATATTCATTTTATGGTTAAACTCAGGTTATTTAAAATAGCCTTTATTTTTCTAAAATAATTTTGGAAATTGAAGCCAGAGTAAGCCTATAAAGGATAAATTTATTTATGCAGCCTAATAAAACTTATTGATGGTGGAAATTATAATTTAATAATTATTACAGGGATTCTTGGAAAAGTATTGCATATTTTAACACTTCTGACAGTCAAACAAAATTTTCCAGTTTAAAAGAGGACCTTAAAGCATTTTAAACATAATTTGTGAGAGAATTTAGCCCAAGTATGTTTCCTTTATCATCTATTAGAATAATATAGTATAATGTAATCAATTTTATAATTTTGATATGAAATACAGAAATTTCTGATATGTGATGCATTTGACACTTGTGCAATGCATATGATTTGAATTGGATTGAATTTTTTTTTTATTGTTGTTAAAGTACAATTATCTCCATTTTCCTGCTACCACTTTCTCCCACTCCACCTACCCCCACCTCCCTCCCTCAACCCTTCTCCACTTTGGCTTTGTCCATGGGTCCTTCATATTTGTTCCTTTATGACCCTTTCCCTCTTTCTGCTGTTCTTTCCTTCCCCACTCCCCTCTGGTTACTGTCAGTTTATTCTTTATTTCAATGTTTCTGGTTATATTTTGCTTGCTTATTTGTTTTGTGAATTAGGTTCCACTTATAGATGAGATCATATGGTATTTATCTTTCACTGCCTGGCTTATTTCACTTAGCATAATGCTCTCTAGTACCATCCATGCTGTGGCAAAGGGTAGGAGCTCCTTCTTTCTTTTTGCTGTGTAGTATTCCATTGTGTAAATGTATCACAGTTTTCTGATTCATTCATTTACTGATGGGCACTTAGGTTGCTTCCAGCACTTGGATATTGTAAATTGTGCTGCTATGAACATTGGGGTGAATAGGTTTTTTTGAATTGATGTTTCAGGATTCTTAGGGTGTAATCCCAGTGGTGAAATTGCTGGGTCAAAAGGCAGTTCCATTTTTAGTTTTATGAGGAAATTCCATACTGTTTTCCACAGTGGCTGCACCAGTCTGCATTCCCACCAAAAGTGCACTAAGGCTCCCTTTACTCCACAAGTTTATTAGCACTTGTTGTTTGTTGATTTGTTTATGATGGCCATTCTGACTGGTATAAAGTGTATCTCATTGTGGTGTTAATTTGCATCTCTCTGATAGCTAGAGATGCTGAACATCCTTTCATATGTCTCTGGGCCCTCTGTATGTCCTCCTTGAACTGTCTGTTCAGGCCTTTAGCTCATTTCTTAATTGGGTTGTTTGTCTTCCTGGGATGGAGTCATCTCAGTTCTTTATATATTTTGGAGATTAAACCCTTGTTCAAGATATCATTGGCAAATATATTTCCACATATAACTGGTTCCCTTTTCATTTTGCTGATGTCTACTTTAGCTGTGCAAAAGCTTTTTATTTTGATGAGGTCCCATTTGTTTTTTTTTTCTGTATGTCCCTTGCTTTAGGGGATGAATCAGATTGAATTTTAAGTTCAGCTATTTTTCATTTTTATTTTTTAAGTATATTCTATCAATTATGCTATTACAGTTATACAATTTTTTCTCCCCTTCGTCCCCTCTCCACTCTGCACTCCCCTGCCTTCAGAAAACTTCTCCTGCCTTAGTTTTCACATTCATGGCTTGTACATGTAATTTCTTTGGCTTCTCTGTTTTCTAAACTATTCTTAGCATTTCCCTGTGTATTTTATGCCTACCAATGATGCTTCTTATTCCTTGTATCTTCCTTCCCCCCATTCTTCCTCTCACTCTCTGCCCCGTGATGTCCATTTCTCTGGTACCATTCCTGTTCTAGTTGTTTGCTTAGTTTTTGTTTTTGTTTCTTAGGTTCAGTTGGTGATAGCTATGAGTTTGTTGTCATTTTACTGTTCATAGTTTTTGACCATCTTTTTTTTTAGATAGGTCCCTTTAACATTTTATATAATAAGAGCTTGGTAATGATGAACTCCTTTAACTTGACCTTATCTGGGAAGCATTTAATCTGCCCTTCTATGCTAAATGATAGCTTTGCTGGATAGAGTACCATATTTTTCATACTATAAGATGCACTCCCCCCCACCAATTTGGGAGGAAAATGCAGCAGTAACCCTGTTCCTGCATCCTGTGGCCTGGCTCCACTGCTGCCCCCCCTAGCAAGCCAGGTAAGCTACATTCAGACTATAAGATGCACCCCCATTTCCCTTCCAAATTTTGAGGGGGAAAGTGCATCTTATAGTCCAAAAATACATAATCTTGGATGTAGGTCTTTGCCTTTCATGACTTCAAATACTTCTTTCTAGCCTCTTCTTGCCTGTAAGTTATCTTTTCAGAAATCAGCTGGTAGTCTTATGGGAACTCCTTTGTAGGTAACTGTCTCCTTTCCTCTTGCTACTTTTAAGATTCTCTTTTTATCATTAATCTTGGGAAACTTAATTATTATGTGCCTTGGTGTGCGCTTCCTTGGGTTCAATTTCTTTGTTACTCTCTGGGTTTCCTAGACTTCCTAGAAGTCTATTATCTTTGCCAAAATGGGGAAGTTTTCCTTCATTATTTTTTCAAATAAGTTTTCAATTTCTTGCCCTTGTTCTTCTCCTCCTGGCACCCCTAGGATTCTGATGTTAGAGCACTTAAAGTTGTCCCATAGGTTCCCAAGCGTCTCCTCATATTTCTGAATTCTTGTTTCTTCCTTCTGTTGTAGTTGGATGTTTATTTCTTCCTTGTGTTCTAAATTGTTGATTTCAGTCTCAGTTTCCTTTGCTTCACTCTTGGTTCCCTGTATATTTTGGTTTATTTCACTTTTGGTAGCTTTCATTTCTTCCTTCACTTTGTAATTGAGCTCAATCAGTTCTGTGATCATCCTGATTACCAGTGTTTTGAACTCTGCATCAGATAGGTTATCTATGTCCTCATCACTTAGCTCTTTTTCTAGAGTTTTGATCTGTTCTTTCACTTGGGCCATATTTCTTTGTCTCAGTGCACCTGTTCTGTTCTAAGGGGCCAAGCCTTAGGTATTTGCCAGGGTGGGGCAACCCTCTTTACAGCACTGTAGTGCTGCCTGTGGGAGAGGGGTCAGAGAGGGAACAATGCTGCTCACTTGCTCCACTCTAGCTCCACTTTCCAGTGAGCTCTCCTGTGAGACTGAGAGTTTCTCCCTGTGTCACACCCCCACAGTATTTTATAGCTAGTTTTGAGTCTTCCGTTTCTTGTTCAGCCAGCCCTGCCTCACCCACAGTAGTCTGCTGCCTTGCCACATGTCCTCCCCATTGGTCTGCTTATCTCTGATCTCTGCCCTTTCTATCAGTCTGGGTGAATGTTTCTTTAACCCCTTGGTTATCCGAGTTCCATGCAGTTTGATTTTCGGGCACTTCTGGTTGTTCATTGCTTTTAAATTGGTTGTTATCCTTGTTTTGGTTGTGTGAGGAAGTGAAGTGTCTCCATTCTATGCCTCTATTTTGGCCAGAACTGTAAGTTCAGCTATTCTGAATGGCTAAAAGGAAAGAGAGGTGAATAAATAGAATCTCTTATAAAAATGAATTACAAGATGTAAGAATGGCATATTTTCTTAATTGAGCTGTCATAAAGTCATTGTAGTTTGGAATTTTTAGACTTTTGTAAATTAAATGGGGATTCGAAGAAGATCAGAGAAAAGCACTTAATAGATGGTTAAATGACACTGGGGGGGATAGGACTTAAGTGGTAATATATTGTTGGAGACACACTTCTGTCTTTGGAGCCTCTGCACTCTATTGAAGTCAAATATTGGTGTGTGTTGGGAGGGTATCTTAAGCCAACAGGCATTTAAGTCTTCCCGTGAATGACTGATTCTTTTATTTAACAGAGACTTATTTGGGACATTTGGGATGCAATAGTTGGGATTCAGGGAATGTTCCCAGCTCCAATGGGGAAATATATTTTTCCCAGCTCCACTGAGATATAATTGACATATAACATTGTATACATTTAAGAGTACAAAGTGGTGATTTGATACAAGTATGTATCCTGGAATGATTAACACAATAAAGTTACTTAACACCTCACATAATTACAGGTTGTATTTTTGTTATTGTGTGGCAAAAACACTTAAGATCTATGCTCTTAGCAACTTTCAAGTGTGAATAATAGTATTATTAGTTATATTCACCACACTGCATATTAGATACCCAGAACTAACTTACTTATCTCAAAACTGGGAGTTGTATACTTTGACCAAGATTTCCCTGTTTCCCTCATACCACAATCCCTGACAACTATCATTCTATTCTTTGTTTCTGTGGGTTTGGTTTTATTAGATTACACATATAAGATTATATAGTATTGGTCTTTCTCCATCTGACTTAGTTCACTTAGCATAACACTGTGTAGGTTTGCCCATATTGTCATAAATGGAGGATTTCCTCGTTTTTCTGAATTATTTCTTCATATGTATGTACCACATTTTCTTTATTCTTTTTTTCATCCGTGGACATTGCTGTTTCCATGTCCTAACTATTGTAAATAGTGCTGCAGATGTGGGAGTACAGATATCTCCTGGAGATAGTGATTTTGTTTTTATTGATTTCCTGCCCAGAAAAAGGATTGCTGGATAATATGTTAGTGCTTGTTGTAATGTTTTGAAGGCCCTCCATACTGTTTTCC